GGGGGGGGTTCCTAGACCCCTTGGTCCATCCTGGAGTTCTCATTTGAGGTGCAGCCCCTGTGGCTTGGGAAGGAGGACCCCGGGACTGCGCCCTCTCCCAGTGCGCCCGGAAGTGGGGGCTGGGGGGGCTCTCCGGTGACTCAGGCGGGGGCAGGAATGCTGCGGTCGGAACAGAACCCGGCTCCAGAACCCCCCCTCCACTCCAGGACTGCTCCTGCCCTGCCAGCCTATGGAGCCAGCTCCCTCGGGATGGACCCCACGTGCCAGGTGGCTGGACGGGACCCATGGCCCGCATCCCCTTGGCCTCCTGCCCGCCGGAGGCCACTCATCCCTCCTCGCTACAGGGGCTGCACTGCAGGCACCTGACCTTAGCTGGGAATGGCAGTCTGCCTGGGCAGCAGTGACTAGGGCGCTTCCCTGCCCACCCCCTTCCGGCCTTCGAGACGGATTTTCCCTCGTTCCACTCCCTCTGCTGACGGAGAAAAGGAAACTTTGTGTCTGCAGAGCGAGGCCACTCTCCAAATAATGAGGTGGTGGGCACGCCGCGCACGCAAACGCAGATGCCGGAATCAAACAAGTACGAGATGTCCCCAGATCCACCGGGACCATGATGCACAAATAGGCGGGCACATGCTCAGAATCACAGGCCCAAGACTAGGTCCTCTATACATCCTGCAACACCAACGTGTTTATCTGTGAATGTTCCATAAATGGTTTGCCTGTCTGTGTTTGTGTGGCTATGTCTGGAATGTTTGTATTTGTACACGTCTTTATGTGTGTTCATGGTGGTGACACAGGGCACACACATACACACACAAAGGTGGGCACACCAGCAGATACACAAAAACTTAGACACATTCTGTCCCACAACCCATTCCCAGACACACAAACATTTATTCAAAACACATTAACTGGCTTACCAGTGACACACGCTCCCCAAAACACAGATGCCCAGACACAAGTTCATTCACTTCCCAGACATAATTGTGCAATCCTGTCATCCCTATTACTACAGAGGCTGAGACAGGATGGCAAGTTCAAAGCCTGCCTGAGCTACCCAGTGAGTTCAAGGCCAGCCTGGGCGATGTAGTGAGAGCCTATCTCAAAAGAACAAGTAAAAAGAGGCGAGGCTATAGCTTAGTAGGAGGGCACCTGCCTGGAATTCAATGAGGAGCTATGGCCATAGCGCAGTGGTTGAGAACTTACTACTGTGCATGATGCCCTGGGCTCAATGGAAACATTTCACTTGGGCTGGAGAGATGGCTCAGAGGTGAAGAGCACTGGCTGCTCTAGCAGAGGATCTGAGCTCAGCTCCCAGCACCCACATCAGGTGGCTCACAACCACCTGTAACTCCTGCTCCGGGTATATGACACCCCCTCTGAACTCCAAGGGCACTGCATACACACACACACACACACACACACACACACACACAAATATGTTTTAAAATTCACCCTTAAAAAATAAAAAGTAAAATAAAATTCACCCATTCAACAAAACTTTGGGGAGCACCTACCGTGTGCTAGGTCATGCTGTCACCAAAGACCATTAAACAGACAGTCTGCTCTCCTGGAGCAGACATTCTACCAAGGGAAAGCAGCAATAGGATACCTGTGGAACATGCAGAGCACACGGGCAACAAGAAAAAGCAAAGCAGGGAAGGGGGTAGATATGGACAGTAGGTTCCAGTTTCCCACAGACTAGTCAGGGACAGAGTAACAGAGGTGTCACCTGAGGAGCCAGCACCAAGGGTGCAGAGCATGTCACATGGACATCTGTGGGAAGACTGTGTCAAACAAAAGGAACAGAAGTGTTTAATTCCCACGGTGGAACTGTGTGTGTGTGTGTGTGTGTGTGTGTGTGTGTGTGGTGTTCAAGAACACCTGAAGGCCAATGTGTTGGGGGTAGACTGAGCCAAGAGAACAGTTATGGGAGGCAAGCTTATCAATGAGCAAACACTTGTACATGATCCCACACTCACATCCTTAAGCGTATGTTCACCCTATGTGGAAAATGTGTTGGTACTAGTATATGAATGCACTTCTCTCTCAATCTTAATCTCTCTCTCTTTCTATCTCTCCAATACTGGAGACTCAATCCAGGGACTCATACACAATAGGAAGTCCTCTACCCACTCAGCTTAGCTACATCCCCCAATCTTCTCTTTGTTGTCTTAGTTTGAGACAAAATCTTGAATTCACTCTGTGTAGCCCAGATAGATCTTGACCTTGAGATGACGCTGCCTCAGTCTTCCTAGTAGCTAGGGTGACAGGTGTGTGCCACCTGGCCCAGTAGGTGCAAAACACTTCAGTGTGTCTATATGTATGCCTGCCTGCATGTCTGAATATGTCTGTGTGAGTTGTGTGTGTGTGTGCATATATGTAAGCATGTGTGTTTCTGTGTGCCCCTTTATGGGTTGTGGGACTGTATGGGTTACTATCTGGATCTATAACAACAGTGAGACTATCTGTGGTTATATGTGTCATATTTGTTCATGAGGTGAGGGGCAGAACTTGTGTCTGGGCATAGAGTTTGTGTGTTCCTAATGTGTTGTTCTCCCTCTCGATGCAAATGCCAGGTAGGCTGGACTGACCATCCAGGTTAGGCAAAGTGTGGTAACTCAGCATGGCGTGGGAGTCTCCTCTCATCCACCCGACACTGCGTTCCCTTCTCACATTCTCCCCCAGGCCTGAACAAGACGTCTTCTTTCTCCTGTGAAGCCCATAACGCCAAGGGGGTCACCACCTCGCGCACGGCCACCGTCACAGGTGACAGCAAAAGGATTCTGGGAGCTGGGTGACAAAGGGAGGACCAGAGGTCAGAGTAGAAGGCGGAGGGCAGGTGGAGAGCTTAGGGCAAAGGTTCCCAAGAGCCAGTTCTCCCCTCATCTGTCCACAGTGCTCCCCCAGCGACCCCGTGACCTCCACTTGGTTTCCCGCCAGCCCACGGAGCTAGAGGTGGCTTGGACCCCTGGCCTGAGTGGCATCTACCCCCTCACCCACTGCAACCTGCAGGTGAGACCCCCGACATTGATCACCTCATTCTCAGCCCTCCTTCCATGCATACCCACAAGCCCACATCTTCCCCCTGGGCCGGGGGGCCGGGGAAAGCAGCCCTTCCAGGCCGCTGGAGTATTGAGAAGCTACAGAGCCTCCAGTCAAGCCAGGTTCCAGGATTCTAATCCTCACTTCGCCTGCTGGCTGTGTAAACTTGAGCAGGTGCCTTAATCATTCTTGGCCTCAGTTCTCCTGTCTATAAAATGGGCATGATGGTAATATCTACCAGATAGGCTTGTGGGAGTTCAGTGAATGAATGCAAGTGCAAACTTAAAATAGTCTTTGATGCCAGGCCTGGTGGCACATGCCTTTAATCCCTGCACTCAGGAGGCAGAGGCAGGCGGATCGTTGTGAGTTCAAGGCCAGCCTGGCCTACATAGTGAGTTTAGGTCAGCTGGGACTACAGGGAGACCCTGTCTCAAAAAGAGAAAAAAAAACAGTATTTGGAACAAAGAGATGGATTATGAACTAGTAGCTGCTTTATTATTTTCAGTATTAAGTGATATTAACTGTAGCCAAATGGGGATCTCTGAGCCAGCAGGACCTGGAGCTGTCCCTGTCCCTGTGTTATGTTCTTCATCTTATCCTTGACCACTCTAGGTTGTCACTGTCTAGAGTAGGTCTGTCCCCATCTGACATTTGGTCTCTCTGAGGGCAAGGCCAGGAGCTGTCGTAGTCATATAGTCACCTCAGAATTGTCTAGCATAGGGGGCATAACAGCCAGGACACAGTAGAATAGGCCTAGAATGCCAGCACTTAGGGACAAGAAGATTGCAAGTTCAAGGCTAAATTTTTTTTAAAAGCTCAAGGTATAGTTTAGCCATAGAGCACTTGCCTAGACTCCACCAGTGTGGGATCAGGGGTAGGGCTCAGCCATAGAGCTCCTATGAGGGCTTGGAGCACGGTTCAGTAATAGAGTTCTGGCAAAAAAATTCACCAGTGAAGGGCTAGGAAAGAACCTGCCTAGAATCCACCAGTAAGGGGCTGGAGCTAGGGCTCAGTGCAGAGTGCTTACCTAGACTCCACAAGTGAGAGGTTCCTCCCTTTCAAGGTATGGGACTAAGAGACCTTAAGAGGGAAGTGGCCCTTTAGCTCATGACTGGAAGGACAAAGCTGAGGTTTAATCCTGGAAGTTCCCGACTTGAAAGACCTCAAATGCCAGATCAGGCACCAGCTGCACTTCTACCCACATCCATGCAGTGTCCCCAGAAAAGCAGAAGTGTGTTTTCTTCCGTCTCTGGGTCTCACTTCCTGCTGAACATAGACTAAGGCTGGAGGGCTCCTAACGGAGGGTCATGACCATCCTAGGGAAACGAGAAGTAGAACTAGGCATGAGCCCACTGTCTTCACCCATCTCCCCTTTGTCCTGGCAGAGGTTCCTCTTCCCATCTGTCACTATGGGTCAGAGAGCAGGTATGGGGGCAGTCTTGTCCACCACCCCCCCTCCGGCTACCCACCATCTGCCTGCCTCCTCCTAGGGTCTTGTAATGCCACTGTCACCCTCTCTGGGGACTATGTGACTCTGGGGACTGTGTGACTTTGGGAAAGCTATTGAATGTCTGGGCCTCAGCATTCTCATGTGTAAAATGGGAATGAGAAAAAGAATTGAGCCCATAAATAGTGGTGAGATGATGTGTTTATCCAAGAACAGGCTTAATGGGGTAAGGAGGGGGTTGGCTTCCAAACTGTTGACTATTGGGGCTGAGGTGTACCTTAGTGGTAGAGTACTTGCCTAGCACAAACAAGACCTCTGGGTTCCACCCCCATCATGGCCAAAAAAAAGAGTCTGGAGAGAGGTCTCAGTTTGTACAGTGTTTACCATGCAAATGTAAGGACCTGTGTCTGATCCCCAGAACCCACAAAACAAAGCTGAGCATGATGGAATATCCTTGTAATCCCAGTTCTGGGGAGGCAGAAACAGGTGAATCCCTGGAGTTCAATGGCCAGTCAGCCTAGTCAAAACAGTTAGCCCCAGGTCCTGTCTCAAAATACAAGTGGAGGCTAGTGAGACAGTTCAGCAGGTAAAGGTACCTGCTGCCAGGCCTAATGACCTGAGTTCAATTCCTAGAATCCACATGGCAGAAGGAAAACGTGGATTCCCACAAGTTGTCCTCTAACTTTTGTGTGTGCCAGGCAAGTGCTCTACTGCTGAGCTGCTCCTTTGGCCCATACATTTAATCTTTAAACAACTTTTGAAGGTATCTCTTCCTCTCAACTTCCATTTTCTAGATGAGGAAACTGAGGCTCAAAGAGAAAAAAGGTCTTGTGTTGCCAGAGGTGGCGAGACATGGTGTGGCCATATGTTTCCTTTCTTTCCAAACACAAGTATCTGTGTTGTCCTGTAGTGTGACAAGACACACACACACACACACACACACACACACTTACACACGTATACACTTGCACATCCTTGCAAACTTGTATAATTGTACTAGGACCATCACAATCAAAAGTGGTGTCCCTGTCCTGTCCTCAGGCTGTGATGTCAGACGATGGGGTGGGCATCTGGCTGAGAGAGTCAGACCCTCCGGAGGAACCCCTCACCTTGCAAGTATCTGTGCCCCCTCACCAGCTTCGGCTGGAAAAGCTTCATCCTCACACCCCGTATCATATCCGGGTATCCTGCACCAGCAGCCAAGGTCCCTCTCCCTGGACCCACTGGTTTCCTGTGGAGACCCCGGAGGGAGGTAAGACAGGTTGGGGAGGGAGATGTCACCCATTGCTCTGCTGGACCTTGTTTTCAGTGGTGCCACCCCAGCTTCTCCCCCTCCCCTTTACCTCACATGGCCTCAGTCTCCTACTTGTCCAGCCCCTGACCCCTCATCTCTGCCCTCCGGCCTCTCTCCAGGTCTCTCCTTGTGCTCATGGAAGGCCTGCACAAGTTACCCACGCGCTAGCCCTTTGCACCCTGCCCCCACATCCTGGGAACAGGGGAGGGGGTCAGAAAGAGGTGTACCAGCTTCCCCTCTTCCCTGTCCTCCAGTGCCCTTGGGTCCCCCTGAGAACGTTAGCGCCATGCGGAATGGGAGCCAGGCCCTCGTGCGTTGGCAGGAGCCAAGGGTGCCCCTGCAGGGCACCCTGCTAGGGTACCGGCTGGCATATCGAGGCCAGGACACCCCCGAGGTGGGTGCTGCTGGCTGGGTTAGGGTGGAATGGTGTGGGAGGAGGGAAATGGGGAAGCGTTGGAAAGGTAGTAATGAGAGGCTGTGTAAGTTGGGTACTATTCGGTTGAACCATGCCCAGTGAGGGGTATCCCAGGATCTTAAATGGGTTCACAGAGAGGGGTTAAGGAATGTCATGATAAAAATACCTCAGTAGGCCTCTATCCATTTTACAACAATTATTTCTATAGCATCTTGAGAAAGGGGTGCCTTTTCCTAATTTGTGCAAAGGTTTTTACATGGATTAGCTATGCCCCAAGGTAGAGATAGAATGGGACATTAGAAGGGGTTGGATGAAGATGGAAAGATGAGAATTCAGTTCTTTAACAAAAGAGTTCCTCAGATCTTGTGCTAAGGATCTGAGGACGTGACCAGATATGAGACAGAGTTCCTGCCCTGTGTAAACAATATTCCAGAGGGCATGGGGATAGAGATGTGGAGATGAAGGGTAGGAGACAAGGGGCATGGACTAAAGAAAAAAGATGGGGCTGAGAGTGATGTCTTAGGAGTCATGGGCCTGGGTCCACCCTTGATGCCACCTCTGGACTTTCTAGGTGCTTATGGATATAGGGCTAAAGCGAGAGGTGACCCTGGAACTGCGGGGGCACAGGCCTGTGGCTAACCTGACCGTGTCTGTAGCAGCCTATACCTCAGCTGGGGATGGGCCCTGGAGCCTCCCTGTGCCCCTGGAGTCCTGGCGCCCAGGTAACAGCAAAGCCATACCAGCCCCCTTCAACTTGTCCCCCAGGGCCTTACCTCTTCCTGACACCCCTGACTTGCTCCCTGAACCTTTGAGGCTCCCTACTCTAGGCTCTGTTCCTACCCTAAGCCTGGCACCAAGCCTCCCTCCCTTAACCCCCTCACTTGTGTCACACAAGTCTTGCCCTCTCTGAGCACATCTCCCCTCTGTCCTTTCTCCTCACAGGGCAAGGACAGCCAGTCCACCAGCTGGGTAAGGGCTTTTGTGCCCCCTTTCTCTCACTCCCCTCAACATGCAAGGAGGGCCTCTTTAGCACACATGTACTTTTAGAACACCCCCTTCATGCTTCTCAAGCACATTACTCTAACTCTACTTCCTGGATTTGCATGGTCCTTGAAGGAGGTGCCTACATTACCCAGTGAGTGGTATGGGTAAATGGATAGATTCATGGACACATGTGCATGGATATGGGTATATGGAGAGTGAATTGGTGTACACATGGATGCATGGTTGGGTGGGTGGGTGGATGGATGGGTGGGTGAGTGGATGGGTGGGTGGATAGATGGATGGATGGATGAATGAGTGGACTGATGGGTGGGTTGGTGGAGATGGATAGATGGATGGAAAGACTGAAAGATAGGTGGGTGGATGGATGCATGAATGAATGGATGAGTGGGTAGGTACGTGGATGGGTATATGGAGAGTAGATTGGTGTACACTTGTTTAAATGAATGAATGCGTGGAAAGAAAGATTGAAGGATAGGTGAATGGATGCATGCATGAATGGGTAGATGCATGCATGCATGGGTAGATGTATGTAAGTATGCATGAATGGGCGATGTATGTATGCATACACGAATGGATGGATGCATGCATGCATGAATGGGCGATGTATGCATGCGTACATGAATGGGCAGATGGATATGTGGGTGGGTTATGGAGAATGAATTGTTATGCAGATAGATGAACATATGTGTAGACAGATCAATAGATGAATAGATGGATAGATAGAGCAATGTAAGGAAAGGGGGAAGGAGGACCTGCCTCATATCCATCCTTGTCCAATATTTCTCTAGCCGTTCTCAAACCCTCCTCCTGCTTCCACTGACCTTCCTGACACCAGGACAGCCACTGCCTGCAGCTCCACCTACTCTCTGAATGCTCTTCACACACCTCCTCATATTTCTTCACATACTTTTCCCACTCTCATCCATCCTCCCTTCATGTCTTGTGATAACCCTTTCTTCTTCACACATGCATATTGCACACCCAACTTCTACGCACATCTTCTATGTACAGTGACCCTGTCACCATACATTGCACAATTGCAACCACTGAAAAATGTTCAGTTCACAGCTATTCCAGACCCTATAATTATGCCTGCCCAGGCATCAAGCATCTGATCCTCCTTAGCCATAAACCTCTTCACCCTTACAAGTCCAACCTCTTCTCTGCCTTTGTCTCCCCGACACACACACCTTGTACAGCCAACACATGCCCATACTCCAGTCCTTCCATACTCTATTTCAAGCCTGCCCTTTTTCCACATCTTACCCCCACTCCTCACCTTCCCCTTCACATCTTCTGTATGTTCACTGCACATGCTTCTCACACTGAAGCTTCGTTCTTAAAAATCATCGCTCACAGCCTGGCATGTCAGCACACCCTTGCACCTTCAACACTTGAGATGTGGAGGCGGGAGAATTGGGAGAATTAGGGGTTTAAGGCCAGCCTGGGCTACACCAAATTCTGTCCCCAAAAGATGAAAGAAAAAAAAAGCAGAGGCTGAAATGTAGCTCAGTTGGTAGAGTGCTTGCTTAGCATTCACAAGGCCCTGGGTTCCATCCCCAGTACCGCATAAACCGGGCATGGTGGTGCATGCCTGTAATCCTAGCCCTTGGAAGGTTGAGGCAAAATTAGAAGTTCAAGATCATCCTTGACTACATAGCAAATCTGAGACCAGCTGGGTTTCATGAGACCCTGTCTGAAAACAAAACAAGACAAAACAAAACAAAACAAAAACTCAGGAGCTGGAGTAATGGCTCAGCAATTAAGAGCACTTAATGTTCTTCCAAGGACTCAAGTTCAGTTCCCAGCACCCATGTCAAGCAGCTGTAACTCCAGCTCCAGGGTATCCAACGCCCTGTTCTGGCTCTGTGGGCACCTGCACATACATAGCATACACATACATAAAGAAAAATAAATTGTTTTTAAAAAACAAAAACAAAAAATAAAGACTGGACACTATATTTCTCATGTGCCCCAAACCGCTGCAACAATCACCCCACTCTGCTCGCACAAGTCCCCTTTGCACATTTATTTCTCTCTCATTCATGCCATCATTGAGCTCTCCCTTATCCTTGGTCCCCCAGCCTCAAGCTACTTCCGCGTGCTCCACACACCATCCTACACCACATGGATTCTCTCTGTTGTTTTTCCACACCCATGTCACCTTGTACAGTTTTCACATCTCTCTCTCTCACACACACACCTACACTACTTTAGATTTACTCACATCCTCCCATGTCTGTCCATCCCCCTTACACACTCAAACCCACTGCACACACATCTCACCTTCCCATTCCACCCACTGCACACTCCTCAGATACAGATCTACCTCACTCTCCCCTTACCCATCCTGCAAGTTTCTCAGGCTTTCTACTCACAGGGCTCTTCATACAACATACATTGCGTGCCAGGCCCAGCCCAGTTTTCTCGGATTCGCCAAATACACCACATCTTTTTCCATGCCTCCCTGCCTTCCTACCACGTTACTCCCTTGGGCCCCAGGGAATTGATCTAGGACCCTAGCCGTGATCTGTCCCCCCATACCCCTCTGACAGTGAGTGAACCCCCACCTCCTGCCTTCTCGTGGCCCTGGTGGTATGTACTGCTGGGAGCAGTTGTGGCCGCTGCCTGTGTCCTCATCTTGGCCCTCTTCCTTGTCCATCGGCGGAAGAAGGAGACCCGCTATGGGTGAGTTAGAACTCCGTGGAAGAGGCTCCTGTGGACTGGGATGGAGAGACTGGAATCAGGGAAACCCAGTGAGGATGCTGGTGTGGGATGGGTGATTGTGAGGCATCAGAATGAGAATGAGGAGGCCTAAGGAATGGATGGAAAGCAGAGAATAACGGTCCATGATGTGCTCAGCAAACCCCAGAAGGGAGACAGAGTACCAGTAGGGCTTGGGAATGCACTGGTGTTTGCGTCTGTCCCCAGTGGAAGGATGGGTTTCCATGTGGTTCTGCCCTGGGGTTACCTTCTCCCCTCTCCCCGCAGTGAGGTGTTTGAGCCAACGGTGGAAAGAGGTGAACTGGTAGTCAGGTACCGTGTCCGCAAGTCCTACAGTCGCCGGACCACTGAAGCCACCTGTAAGTGAACTTTATGCCTCCTTCCTTGCAGTGGTATGGAGCTAAAAGAATGTGTAAAGAACTGCCCCTGCTGGGCTTCTGTAGATGCGTAAGACAAAAGTTTCTGAAGGTCTTTAGAATACCTGGATGTTAGAACCACAGGCGCTGAAACAGTGAAATTTGGAACCACACGCAGCTTTGGAACACTAGACTGATAGGATACTGAATTAATTTTCTTGTTATGACAAAATACATAAACAACTTCAGGAAAGAAGAGTTTATTTTGGTTTGGGGGTGGGGTGTTGGGTTTGTTTTTTTGTTTGTTTGCTTGCTTGCTTGTTTGTTTTAGACAAGGTCTCCCTGTAGCTGGCCTAAAACTCACTATGTAGACCAGGCCCCTGAGTGCTGGGATTAAAGGCATGTGCCACCAACACCTGGATAGGAGGAGTTCATTTGGGTTCACAGTTTGAAGATGTAGGATATCTTGGTGGGGAAGGCCTCGGGCTGCAGGAGTCTGAGAAGGATGGTCACATTTCATCTGCAGACAGAAGGCACAGAAAAGTGAATGTTGGTGCTCGGCTCATGCACTCCTTTTTGTTCAGTTCAGAGCCCCAGCCCATGGAATGGTGCTGCTCATATTTAGGGTGGGTCTTCCCACTTCAGTTAACCCAATCTAGAAACTCTCATAGACATGTCTAGAGGCTTGTCACCTAGTTCATTCTAGATCCTGTTAAGTTGATATTAACCATCACAAATATACGTTTTTGGTTTTGTTTGAAACAAGGTCTTGTGTAGACCAGACTGGACTTGAACATCTTGTCCTGCCTCCATCTCCCAAGTGCTAGGATTGCAGGCATGTGCCACCACATCTGGCTTTTTTTTTTTTTTTTTTTTTTTGACGGAGTCTCACTCTATAACCCAGGCTAACCTGTCTCAACCTCCTGAGTGCTGGGATCACAGGCCTACCAGGCTAGTATAATTGAATCTCACAGTAAACCTTAAGAACACCAAATCTAAGAGCCATAGGATCTTGGAAAAATGTAATGATGATAATGATGAAGATGATGATGATGAAGGTGGTAGTGAGATGAAGATGAAGATGGTGTCATGAGCTGATGATGGTAATATGATTGTAACATGATAGCCCACCCTGGAGCAGCCTATGTGACAAATGCTGTTCTAAGCATTCTACACACATCACCTCCTTTGAGTCCCAAAGACCTGAGAGCCTGTTCTCACCCTCCTTTAACAGATGAGGGAGATGTGGCATAGAGTAGTTAAGTAACTTACTCAACACCACACACACAGCTTATAGAGTAGATAACTGAAATTTGAACCCAAGCAGTTTTTCTCTGAAGTCATTTTATTTGTTTAGTTTTGTTTGTTTTGTGACAGGGACTCATGTGGCCCAGGCTTTCCTTGAACTTTCAATGTAGTCAAGATTCATCTTAAAGTCTGATCCTCTTGCCTCTAACAACTTGCTCTGAAATCTATTTCTCTCCCTCCCTCCCTCCCTCCCTTCTTCCCTCCTTCTCTTTTTACCTCTCTCCTGGGGCTGGAACCCAGGGCCTTGTACATTCTAGGCAAGCAGGGCACCTTGGAGCCCTATCCTCAACCCTTAGTTTCTTCAGACAAGGTCTCACTATGTAGCTAAGGCTGGCCTTGAACTCTCTAGCCTCCCACGTCAGCCTCACAAGTGCTGGGATAGCAGGAGTATGCTACCACATCCTACCTGAAGTCTCCACTCCAAACTGCCACACTCCACTGTTTCTTTGAGTTATAGAATCTTAGAATCAATCAATAAGATTATAGTGTCAATCTTGGTCTGAAAATGTGTTCAGTACCACAGACTCTTAATGGTTTTTTAAACCATAGAATCTTAGGGCTATAGACCCATAAGATTGTAGAGTCATGGACAGTGCCAGCTAAGGACAGATCTCAGAGGCCACCCAGTCAAAGCTCAGTATTCCAGTAGGGGAAACTAAAATCCAGAAAGAAAAAGGCCAGACTAGGTCTGGATCTAGCACACAGCAAGTAGATGGCCAGGATCCCAGGGGATGCTGGGAAAGAGCTGGGAAAGAAATTTATTTGGGAAGACAAGGAAGCGGCAGCAAAAAGGTCGCAGAAATTTGACGGAATAATACACACCAGCGGCTCTTGGAGCGTGAGCCTGGTCCCAGGGGTTCTGGAGACCTGAGTGGGGTCCATGAGGTCAGAACCATTTTCACAGTTGTACCCAGACGATCCTTGTTCTGCTTTCTCACTCTTCAGAAGCTTTCAAGGGAGCTTCCCTCGGGCTCTCTGACCTGAGGTGGTGTCATCAAGAATTGGTAGTTGAAGGAACATATGCTTGTGTGTTATTGTGGTTTTTAAAAATTATTGTCATAAGTAGTGCATGGTGATAGAACATGGGAGGCCGAAGCAGAAGGATTTTTAAGTTCAAGGCTCACCTGGGCTATGGAGTATGTTCAAGGCCAGCCTATATAACTTAGTGAGACCCTATCTCAGAATAAAAAGCAAAAAGAGGGCTGCGGATACAGCCCAACCCTCAGTGCTAGAGTGCCTGCCTAGAATCCCCCAGTGAGGGGCTGGAGGCCTGGTTCAGTGGTAGAGCGCTTGCCTAGAATTCACCAGTGAAGAACTGGAGGCCTGGCTTAGTGGTGGAGGGCTTGTTGATCATGTACAAGGTTCTGGGTTCTACCCCCAGCACTGAAAGAACAACAAAAAAATCCCAAAACAAAAAAATCCAATACTGCTGTTTTAATTTTTAATACAATAAACATCTATAGCTATAGTATTCATATCTATTGTGTTTGCTTTGATGGTACAGACACTAAAATTAGAATGATGTATATGTACAGATGTATGTATGTATGTATATATATATATACATATATAACCTATGTCTGTAAAACCCACTAAGAATTCTTATGGGTTTGGGATGTAACTTAGTGGCAGAGTGCTTGCCTAGCATGCATCAGGCCCTAGGGTCCATCCCCAGTACCGCCAAGAAAGCAAACAAAAAAGCAAGCAATAAAAGGCTGGACATGGTGGCACATGCATTTAATTCCTGTCCTCAGGAGGTAGAGGCAGGAAGATCAGGAGTTCAAGGTCACCTTTGGCTACATAGCAAGTTCAAAGGAAACCTGAGCTATGTGAGAGCCTGCCTCAAAAAAAAAAAAAAAAAAAGTTCTTGCTGGACATGGTGGCATACTCCTTTAATTCCAGCACTCAGGAAGCAGAGGCAGGCAAATCTCTGAGTTCAGGGCCAGCCTGGTCTACATAGTGAGTTCCAGGCCAGCTGGGGCTACAGGGGGACCCTGCCTCAAAAAAAACACACACAAAAAAGTTCTTTGTAGCCGTCACTAATTTTTACATATAAGTCAGTATGTTTGAGAACTGTCACCTTGACAGTAATGAAAATGCGTAAATCACAGCTGTACACAGCAGCTACCGTACGGCAACTGCCTTCTAGACATACTGCTGAAAGAAACCAGAGAGCAAAGAGAATATGCTGTGTGGTTCCATTTCTGCACCATCCCCGAACAGAGAAAACTAGCCGATTGGCTTTGGTGGTGCACACCAGTAATCCCAGCGCTTGAGAGACTCAAGCTGGCTTTCAACTGAAATTTATAAGAGATATGGAAGTATTCAGTATATTTAATAAATTTTTTTTGAAAACTGGGTGTGACGGTGCATGCCCATAACCCTAGCACTTAGGAAGCTGAGGCAGGAGGATTGCCATGAGTACAAGACTAGGTATTGAGACTAGTTCTTTTTATCTGAGACAGGGTCTCCCTGTAGCTCCAATTGGCCTGGCACTTGCTATGTAGACCAGGCTGGCCTCGATCTCATAGAGATCCACCTGCTTCTGCCTCCCAAGTGCTGGGACTTTTTAAAGCGTGAGCCACAACACCCAGCTGAGACTGTTTTTTTTTAATTTTTATTTTATGTTGAGTGTTATGCCTACATGTGTGTAAGTGCACCCATGTTGTACAATGCCCTTAAAGGTCAGAAGAGGGCATTGACTCTCCTAGAACTGGAGTTTTGGATGGTTAGTAGCTGCCATGTGGGTGCTGGGATTCGAACTCAGGTCTTCTGCAAGAACAGCCAGTGCTCTTAACCACTGAGCCAGCTCTCCAGTCCGAGACCATATTTTTTTAAATGGATTGACTATCATGTCTGCCGCACTGCCTAATAATGTTCTTACATAAAGATTTATTTTTCTAAGACTTGTGTAACCCAAGCTGGCCTCAAATTTGCAGTAATCCTCCTGCTTTGCCTCCTGAGAACTGGGATTACAGGCGTGTGTCACCACACTGTCTTATTTATTTTACAATCTCATAATTGTAATATTATGAGGCAATTACAGTGGAATAATTAGATGCATGTATATAATGATCTAGTCAGGTTAATTAGCGAATTAGCATTTCCATCTCTTTAAACATTTGTCCTTTCTTATGATGAGAAACGTCAAGCTCCATTCCAAAAAGAAATATGTTTAACAACTGGTACATTGACCAATCAGAGTGTCCACTGGAGCAAGAGTGTGACCAGGATTTAACCTTGCAGTGCTTCTATAGGAGAAGATTTATGGACTCCAAGAGCTGGGGATGGCTTGGGGGTGCTTGGGGTAATAGCTGATTTTGAACCAACATGGAAGCAGTTCAAGGAGTCCTTCCTGGCACATGTCACCTTCCTGTCAACCTTGCTGCATGGTTCTGTTCACCCCACTGCAGTGAACAGCCTGGGCATCAGTGAAGAGCTGAAGGAGAAGCTACGAGACGTGATGGTAGATCGGCATAAGGTGGCCCTGGGAAAGACCCTGGGAGAAGGTGCGTGCATCTCTCCAACACACTCACAGTCTACTCGAGCCCTGAGGTTCTTCTCTCCCCCACCCTCACCCAATTGCAGGTGACACAGTCTTCATGAGTCCCTCCAAGACCAGTGTCTTCTTTCTTCCCACCACAGGAGAGTTTGGTGCTGTGATGGAGGGCCAACTCAACCAGGATGACTCTATCCTCAAGGTGGCCGTGAAGACGATGAAAAGTAAGTCTGTGCGTGTGTGCATGCAGATGTGGGCACCAGTCCCTAGCCCAGGCCTCTTCCCTATGACCCAGGGAAGCAGGGGACAGAAAAGCTACAGGCAAAACGGCCACAACATAGAATCCAGTGTTTCCAGCAGGGAAATGGGACCCATGCCAGACAGTTCAAGAGAAGGAACTGAATACACTATCCTATCAAAGGATGGCTTGAAATGATAACTGGGGCAGGGACACAACCGGCTTAGCAGCAGGAAATCACTTTCACCCATAGGCCTGAAGGGCCAGAGGAGGAAATTGTGCTACCAGAGCCCATGTCCAGGAGGAAGCTGGGAAACAGAATTAAGGGTTGCCCTGGGAGAGCTAGAAACACGGAGGACATACAGCATCACCAAGGCAATTCCCGAAGCAGAAAGAGTGAGCTATCCTGGCTTCTTCTCCTCTTGCCTTCCTACAATCCTCCCATCAGTTTGGCAGTTTGCCAAACTCCAATAGGAAAGCAGGTAGGAAAGAGACCTGGGAAATGTAGTTTTCAGGGGCTAGCCTCTTGTTACACAGAACTGAGCCGGGCCAGGTCAGAATGAGGCACAGTTGGCCACTTCATTTACCAGTGGAAGTCTCAGGCTTGTGACTCTCCCTCTCCAAGGCTTCCTTCCTCCTTTGGAAAAATCATTCATAAGTCCCTATCCCCTAGGGGGGTGTTATGAGACAAGCCACTTATTGCCAGGGGTGGCATGTAGTATTTGCTGTTAAGGTGGAACATGGCTACATCACTCTATCATCAGAGAGGGTAGGAGCCAATTCAGAGTTACCGCACAGGAAATTCAGGAGGAAGTCTTTTTCATACAGGGAAAAAGAAAGCATAGAGTGTTCAGGCTGGGCCTAGAGCTTAGGGAGGAATGATCCTTAGTGAATGGTAAAGTTTGAGGGTCATCATTCATTTGCATACTCATTATTGAGTGTCTCTTCTGTACCACGTACCCTTCTTTGGGGGAAGGGGGAATATGGAAGATTTCACATCCAATCAAATGCCCTACCTCTGAGCTACAGTCCACTGCTTTTTTTCATTTTGAGACAGCATCTTGTTGTGTAGCCCAGGCTGGCCTCCAACTCATAATCCTCCTTCCTCTGCTTCCTGAGTTGTTGGCATCACAAGTAAGCACCACCATGTCAGGACCTACCATGCCCAGCCTCCTCATCTTTAAAATGGGCTAATAAGGTGGCCTACATAATCCCAACATTTGAGAGACTGAGGCAGAAGGATGAGTTCCAAACTAGCTTGGGCTATAGACTGAAACCCTGTTAACAAAACAAACCCAATAAAAGGGGAGGGGCCTCGGGTTATGGCTCAGAGGAAGAGTGCTTCCCTAGAATCCTCTAGTGAAGGGTGGGGGGTGGCGGGGTGGTTCAGTGGTAGAGCACTTATCTAGAATCTTCCAATGAATGATGACTCTGAAGTAGAGCTCTTGCCTGGGATCTACCAGTGATGGACTTGCCTTAGCAAAGCCCTGGGTTCTACCCTTAGCACTACATACATAAACAGGCTAATAATACATGCATTTATTGAGGATTAAATAACTTAATAGAAGTAAAACAGAGAGTACAGCGTCTTTCAACTCAGTAGTAACAGTTGATAGAGATGATGATGATGATGATGATGGTAGACAGGAGGAGGAGGGAAGGACTCCTTCTTCTCTTCCCTCCAGATACTCACCTCCCTTTCTCCCCGAAGTTGCCATCTGCACGCGGTCAGAGCTGGAGGACTTCCTGAGTGAAGCAGTCTGCATGAAGGAATTCGACCACCCCAATGTCATGAGGCTCATTGGTGAGGGAGGGGCGCATTCCTACAGGGCCACCCCAGAGTGAAGACCCCCTCCTTCTGTGATGGAAAAATCAAACCTCCAGGCTCCCTGCACCCCCTCTTTCAAGATCAGCAAGCTCCCCTTCCTCTGCTTCCTCAGCTTGGAATGTGACCTCTGACCTTTCCCAGAAATAGCTGAGGTCCCCAGGAGGGTTCCAGAATAAAACATCCCTGGGAAATGGCTTCTCCACAGTTGCATCCTTACCACCCACCTCCAAACAATGTGGAGACTCTATTTGAGGGGGTGGGAGAAGGGGGAGGCTAAATCCATCTGGGAATGGGGCTGGGTTTCCCCCTTCTGCGGAGCCAGAGTGACTGATCTGCCTGGGGGCTCAGGCGTCTGTTTCCAGGGATCTGATCGAGAGGGTTTCCCAGAACCTGTGGTCATCTTACCTTTCATGAAACATGGGGACCTACACAGTTTCCTCCTCTATTCCCGGCTTGGAGACCAGCCAGTGGTGAGGAACATTCCATTTTCCAGTCCATACGCATTCACTGACCACCTACCAGGAACCTAGACATTGAGAAGGAAGACTATAGTTGACCTTGAGTTTGCACCCATGGATCCTGTACTGTAAGGGACAGGGTGGGGGGGAGACAGTAAATAAGCAAACACATACATAAGCAAGACCACTTAAGTGCTAGGAAGAATGTATACAAGGAAGAAAGACAAGTTGGCCCTGGAATTAATTTGAATGGAGGAAAGGCCTGACTTAGGAGGGTGACATTGAAAGAGATACTGACTGAGGAGATGGTGGGTGATCCTGGCAGGAAGTAATCCCAACCAAGGGCATAGCATGGGCTAAGGTCTGAAGACCAGGGAGGTGGCCAGTGTCTGGAGTGTTTGTCAAAGGCAAGAACAATAGCCTACCAAGTCAAAGAGGGGTTGATCTTAGAGGGTCCTGTAGCTATGGAAAAGGATCGATTTTATTCTCAATGACGCCATGGAAAACCGTTGCAGACAGAGCTAGGCGCACATAAGAAGGGAAAGAGGGCTTAGGAGTGATGTCCTTTGGGGACTCATCTGACTACTACTCTTCCTTGCCTTGGTTCCCAGTTCCTGCCCACTCAGATGCTGGTGAAGTTCATGGCCGACATTGCCAGTGGCATGGAGTACCTGAGTACCAAGAGATTCATACACCGGGACCTGGCTGCCAGGAACTGCATGTGAGTTTTGATAGCCCCTCCTTCCTCCAGGAGCTTCCTCCCTCTTTCCCAGGATAAAAGGGGAGCTGGACCCACCAGGGAAGGGCAGAAGTACAGAGACGGTTGAAGAGGTGTGTTAGTCAACTTTTTGTCACTGTGACAAAATGCCTGAGAAGAACAACTGGAAGAAGAAAGATTTAATTTGGCTCCTGGTTTCAGAGGTTCCGGGCCATGGTCACATGGCTCCATCACTGTGGGCCTGTGGTGAGGCAGAGCATCATGGTAGACAAAGCACAGGTGGAGCAGAGCTGCTCACCTTGTGGGAGCTAGAAAGCAGAAAGAAAGACAGGAAGTGGCCAGATATACAAAGCTACATCCCCAAAGATGTACTTGCTCCTGTTAGATCCCACCTCCTAGGAATCCATTCAGCTGTGAACTCATCAATGCGTAGTGTCCTATGATCCAGTCACCTCTCAACAGTGTCATCAGCTGAGGATCAAGCCTTCAGCACATCCTTTTGGGGGTATACTTCACATCTAAATTGTAAGAAAAGACTAACAAGGGGCTAGAGAGATGGCTCAGTGGTTAAGAGTACCAGCTGCACCAGCAGAGGACCCAGGTTCGATTCCCAGCAGCCACATGGCAGCTAACAACTGTTCCAGGGCCTCTTTTGGCCTCTGTGGGCTTTGCACGACACAGGTGCACTTACATACATGGAGGCAAAACGCTTACACACATAAAATAAAAATAAGTCCATCAAAAAAAGTTCAAAGAAAAGACTAAAAAGGGAGTCTGGGAAGGCTTTCTGGAGAAGCCCTAAACTGAGGTCTTGAAAGATTTAGATATGGAGAGAGAAGAGACAGGAGGCAGGAGGCAACTCAGTGCACAGCATGAGGTAAACAAAGGGACAGAGGTGACAGATGGGTGGTGACATAAGCCTCCCCTCTGTCTCTGAAGGAAAACTTTGGAGAAAGAGACTCCTCAGAAGTGCACAAGCAGAAAATAAGCCTGAACTGGGGTTAAAGAGAGATGAGGCTGGAAGGCATGCCATCACAGGCTTAGAGTATTAGTTTCATGACCATGTCAGACTCCTAGGCCTGTACCACCAGGCCCCGGCCAAATGACTTATGTAGATAACTCCCAACCCCAAACCAGGATCTAATCAAGGTTCCCATATTGCATTTTGTTGTTACATGGTTTTGGTCTATTTTAACCTAAAGCAGACCCTGACACCACTTTTTCATATTTTTTAATATTTTATTAGTTTATGTTATATGTATGAATGTTATTGCCTGCATGTATGTAAGTACACCTATATCATGCAAGCAATGCCTGCAGAGGTCCAAAGAGGGTGTTGATTCCCTGGAACTGGAGTTATGGACAGCTGTTGTCATGTGGGTGCTGAGACTAGGACCCGGGTCCTCTGCAAGAGCAGCCGGTGCTCCTACCCACTGAGCTGTCTCTCCACTTTTTTGTATTTTCATAGCAGATTTTTTTGTTTGAGCCAAGGCCAGTTGCCTGATAGGATGTGCTGTACTGAAGATGTGTCTGTTTGCTGGGTGGTGTTCCATGATATCAAGGTTCTATTTTCTATTTAGGTGATGGATATATGGATGTGTTTGCTCAGTTATGATTTGTGCTTATGTGGGGTTTTTGCTTGGTTTCTGTTTGGTTTGGTTTGGCCTGGTTTGGTTTTTTGAGACAAGCTCATATAGCCTAGGCTGGCCTCGATTTCACTATGTAGCCAAAGCTGACCATGAACTCCTGATTCTCCTACCGCTACCTCCCAAGTGCTGGGATTTACATATTTGTGCTACCAGGCCTGGCTTGTGGGGTGTGTGTGAGTGTGTGTGTGTGTGTGTGTGTGTGTGTGTGTGAGTGTATTTGTGTATTTTGAGATAGGGTCTTACTACATAACCCAAGCTGACTTGGAACTCACTATATAACACAGGCTGACCTTTGAACATACAATCTTCCTGCATCAGGCTCTGGACTGCTGGGATTACAGGTGTGTAAAACCACACCTAGCCATGTGCACATTTCTGTATATCATATATATCAAGGAAACATAAAACAACAGGGAATTAAACCTAGGGAGCCTGGGAAGGCTCTCTAGAATTTGATAAAAAGCCAAAGCTGGGGGCTGGAGAGATGGCTCAGCAATTAAGAGCACACGCTGCTCTTGCAGAGGACCTGAGTTTGGGTCCCAGCATCCACATGGCAGCTAACAATCATGTGTAATTCTAGTTCCAAGGGATCTGACACTCTCTTCTGACCTCTGTGGGCCTTGCAGGCAGGACAAGGGTACAATTACATTCGTGCAGGCAATACATTCATACGCATAAAATAAATATTTTTTAAAAGCCAAAGCTGAACAAGCTCTTAGAAGCCCTTTGTCCATATTCATTTTAGAAGAAACGAGATAAAGCACTTCCCTCTGGGACTTGGAGAGGGTGCTGGAGTCAGATCCCTGCTCTCAGGTAGAAACATGAGGTCGGCAGGAGATGGAGTCATAGTTGAGATCCAGCAGGCTTCCTGGTGAAGATGACCCATGCCCTGACCCTGTTGCCTTCCCCAATCTGGGCAGGCTGAACGAGAACATGTCTGTGTGTGTGGCGGACTTCGGGCTCTCTAAGAAGATCTACAATGGGGACTACTACCGCCAAGGACGCATTGCCAAGATGCCAGTCAAGTGGATTGCCATCGAGAGTCTGGCAGATCGAGTGTACACCAGCAAGAGTGATGTGGTATGTGTGCCCCAGCCAGGAGTGGGGAATCACACAGTGTGGGGGTAGGGGACAAGATATGAGAAGCTGCAGGGCTCACAGGGACAAAATCTTTACATGCGTACCAGTGATGCACTTGTAGATATGGCTGTGAACAAATGCTCATATGTGATTGAACACCCAAACTTGTATGTTGGGGGGCGGAGTGTGCGGAGAGATCCTCTTACTCTCTCTCCTCTACTTTCCACAGTGGTCCTTTGGCGTGACAATGTGGGAGATTGCCACCCGGGGCCAAACCCCCTATCCAGGAGTGGAGAACAGTGAGATTTACGACTACCTGCGCCAGGGGAATCGCCTGAAGCAGCCTGTGGACTGTCTGGATGGCTTGTGAGGACCCTTCCATCCCCCTAACTCCACCTCAGAATTCACTCCAAACCCGATTACCCACACAGATCCCTAACATCTCTAGAACTCTCTTAAAGTGCATAGAATCCCTCAGAATGTTGAGAAATCCACTCCCCCGTCAACCAGTGTTCTGAGCAGGCCCATTCCCAGCCATCCACGGGGTGCGAGTCCACCAAAGGCACTTTTCCTGCTTTGACTGCTGTGTGGAACGCAGGCTGGATCAACCCTCTCCCTCCCCAGCCCGGTATTCTTTTTTTAAAAAAATATTTTATTTAGTATTTTTTTTTTTTTTGGTCTTTTTGAGACAGGGTCTCCCTGTAACCCCAGCTGTCCTGGAACTCACTATGTAGACCAGGCTGGCCTTTAACTCACAGAGATCTGCCTGACTCTGCCTCCCGAGTGCTGGAATCAAAGGCGTGTGCCACCACACCCGGTTTTTGTTTAGTATTTTTATTTTATGTGTATGAGTGTATTGCCTGCATGTTCGTTAGTGTACCCATGTCATGCAATGCCTGAGGAAGTCAGAAAAGAGCATTGGATCCCGTGGAACTGGAGTTACAGACAGTTGTTAGCTGCCATGTGGGTGCTAGGAATCAAACCCCGGCCCTCTGCAAGAACAGCCAGTATTAAGCACTGATCCACCTCTCCAGCCCTCAGCTTAGTATTCTTAAGCAGTGAACAACTGTACAACCTTCCTGGGCAGCCCTAGCCCTGGGACCCCCAGCCCCCTCCCCTTTATTTCTCATCTAGGAGACTTCTAATTCATCCCAGGCTCCTGTGGTTTTCCTCACATGCTTCAGTACCCAAGGCCCTCTGCAAAACTCTCCACTCTGTTTTACTAACCTTCACTAGACTCTCACTTCTCTGACATGCTTATCAACCTTTGCAGTATTGTAGCATGCAGAGAAGGGTGTGACATCAGTCAGTACTTTGAGGTTAAAGAGAAGATGTTGCTTGGGTCAGGAGGAGAGAGTCTGGGATTCAGACTCCCCAGGCTTCCTTTGGACACTCCAAGAACTGAGGGGGATAAGAATAGGAGCTAACACTTTATAGAACTTACCAGAAGGCAGTGATTTAGGTGCTTTGCATGAATTAGCTCATTTGATCCCTTACGACAGTCACAGGAAGTAGGTAGTGTCATGAGTTTGCAGAGGAGAAAACTGAGATCTACAGGGAGCGTGAATCACTTGCCAAAGGTTTATACAGCTTGTGTATTAGTTATCTACGCTCCAAAATCTAACCGCTTAAAATAAACAAACATTTCCCGTTTTACACGGTTTCTGAAGACCAGAGGCTGAGAATTGCTTAGCAGGGTGATTCTCCTTGGGGTCTGTAACAAGGTTAGTCAGGATGGCTGCTGGGGCTGTAGCCATGTAAAGACTGGGGCTGGAAGACCACTTTCAAGACGTCGTGTTCACATGGTTGAGGCAAGAAGCCTCAGTTTCTCGCCAAGAGAACCTTTTCATAGCCCCACTGGAGACTTCTCACAACATGGAGATCCAAGAGAACATGCACGGGGTCTCTGAAATACCTTTCACGACCTAGTCTTAGAAGTCACATGCATACCATCACTTGTGCTGAGCCAGAAGCAAGTCATTAAGCCCTGCCCACACTCGAGGGGAGAGGCCTTAGTCACTAGCTTTTGAAGGAAAAGAGTGTCAAAGAATTTATGGACATATGTAAATCAGTCTAGATGACTTCTAATTCATCTCAGATTCCCATATTGGCTCCCCACCCTACATATGTTTGGTAAATGGCAAAGCCAGGCTTTAAAATTAAGAAAGTTTGTTGCAGGGGTGGGTGGGAGGAGCGGTAGAGGAGCTAAAGCAAACCCTTGTCAAAAACTACCTGAGGGGCTAGAGAGATGGCTCAGCAGTTAAGAGCACTGACTGTTCCTGCAGAAGACCTGGGTTCAAATCCCAGCATCCACATGGTGGTTAATGACTGTCTGTAACTCCAGTTCCAGGGGATTTGACACCCTCTTCTGTCCTCCCATACACTTCATGACATGGGTGCACTTACACACATGCAGGCATAACACTCATACATAAAAATTTTTAAAAATTTAAACAGGCTGGGCATGGTGGCTCATGCATTTAATCCCAGCACTTGGGAGGCAGAGGCAGGCAGATCTCTGTGAGTTCAGGCCAGCCTGGTCTACACAGTGAGTTCCAGGACAGCTGGGGCTACAGAGAGACCCTG